GTCCATAATCATATTCTGTTTTCTTGAAGAATTCGAGTAGCCTACTTTTGCTTCCAGAATCTTTCTGCAGTAAGTTTGGTACGTACATTTATGTTTGTTTAATCGTTCCGAATTCCACCATCATGCATTTTCTCTGTCATTTATTTATCTTGCATATTAAAATTACATGCTCTAAATCAGTGGTTCCCAAACTTTTTATCTTCAGACCCACAAAATATTCATGGCAAAAAATTGTGACCCCAAATATTACTGGTCTGAGAACACAAACTTTGTTAATAACCCTAAAAACAAAGGCTACACAAGTATAAATACTTATTTATACTTATTTTGTGTTTTTGTAATAAATATAGGGAAATACACCAAGTATTTTAATACCCTTTAAATCGATTTCTGAAGTGCAGTGGTTCCCAAACGTTTCAGCTTTTGACCCACAAAATAACAGTAGCAGAGACTTGTGCCCACAACTATTTTTGGATGATAAACATTTGTATCAGGTCAACTTTTATTATTCATTATTCTACATTTACACATTTTAGGCAACTAGGGCAAAAATGTAATTAGTTTAGAAAATATTTTCAGGACCCCACCTTGATGTTTCAGGATCCCACTTTGGGTCACGACCCCAACTTTGGGAAACACTGCTCTAAATGTTTCGGTTACTCCACAACACTGACAATTTCTAGTTTCATGTTTTTTATTCCAAATATTGTGCTGTTTTAAGTCCAATGTGTCCCAATCTTCTTAACAGTAGCTATTTCTTAGTTTCTGTTTGTCCCATGCTCTCATAAAATCTTATAAAACCATCTTTCTTTGTTTTCTTCTTTCTGCCACTTTTCCTTCAGTTTTTGCTTGAAGTTGATTTGTCCTGTTGTTGCCATTTTCGCTGCCCTGTCTGCTGCTTCGTTTTCCTCCACCTCAATGTGTGCTAGTACCCATGAAAATTTAATTTCTAAACCCACCATCTGTATTCTAAATAATATTTTAATGATATTGTAATAAATGTCTGGTCTGCTTTCTGAGTGGTTGTTTTGTAAACTTGTAAGTGCTGAACTTGAATCTGAACAAACTATTGTTTTTAATGATCTTACTTCTCTACCCGCTGTACTGCAGTAATGCTAATATTTCCCCGCCCGGTGTATACTGAAATACTGTGAAATTGGTAAAATGGTTGCTATTCCCATTTCTCCTGTCAGATGTTTCGATGCATCAGTGTAAATCTGAGCGTAACTATGAGATTTATGTATTCCTGAACTGTGTATGAGCTAAAAAAAATTTGTTTTATTGTTTATCTTCTTCATGAGTGTTAAATCTACTTTTGCATTTGGTAATACACACGGTGGTTTTGTTGGTAATGGTACTATTGAACTTATGTTGTTTACTTGAATAGACTCTACTTTTTTCAATCTCTCATCCAAATCTTTTAGTTTCTCTTTTCATTTTTTTCCCAACATGGCTGGATGATCCGGGTAATTTCCTTGTAAATTGATCCAATAATTTATTGGATGTGTTCTTCTCAGTTCTAATGACTGTTTCTTTCATTTCCACTTTAAGTGCTGCTGTTGGTGTCGTTCTGATTGCTCTGGTACAGATTCGTGTTTTGTTTTTTTGCTGATACGTATACTGCCATAATCTATAACTGATATGTACATTTTCTTTAATGCTGTTCTATCTGCGTCCATCGATTTCCTGCCAAACATCTCATCATATTAATTTCTTACATCAATTATTTTCTGACTATTCCATATTTTTTTCATCCAACCACATCCCTAAAAATGTTATGCTCATTACCCACTCTACTTCTTGCTCATAGATTTTCAGTAGTTTTAGTTTTGTGAATTTTTTTGAGGAAATATCATTGCTTTTGTTTTCCCCAGTGAGAATTTAAACCCCCGTTGATATGCCCATTTCGCTATGTTATTGATATAATTTTGTATTTTATTTATAAAGAATTCTACATTTCTACTACTTTTCCAGGTTCCTCCATCATCTGCAAAGATTGAACAGCTCATTCCCCTTTATTTCATCAAAAACACAATTTATCATCAAGGAATACAACAAATGGCTAATTATGCTTCCTTGTGGTGTTCCATGTTGGATATATTTTCCAGAATACTCTTTTCCTATTTAACTTGCATTGTTCTTTTTGACAAAAAGGTTTTGGATCTACTTAAACATTTTTACTGTAACGCCTAGCTTCTTTAATTAATAACACTTCAACCCAATGTCAAAGAATATGGCCACTACACTTTCATTATCTGTGCTCTTTTTCCAGACATAAATCTGCATCATATGCATGTCTCCCTTTTCAGAATCCACTTTGATATTTAGATGTATACTTTTTAGCTTTTAAATAGAATGTTAATCTATAATTGGTCTTTTTTACTTATCTTGCATCCATCTTACTTTGCTGTAATAGCAAAATTAGGTTACATTACCCTTACAGTAAGAGAAAAACTAAGTATTAGGTTGTTTTACAGAACCTTTTCCCCAGTATTTGTTATCTGCTTAAAATGAATAGAGAACTTTTCAAATACACAAAACCGTACTTCTTAGAAACCTGCTTCCACACACAGCGGGTAAAATAAGTATTGAACGCGTCACCATTTTTCTCAGTAAATATATTACTAGAGGTGCTAATGATGTGAAATTTTCACCAGATGTTGGTAACAACCCAAGTGATCCATACATACAAAGAAATCAAACCATGAATGTCCAGAAATGAAGTTATTTGTAATAATGTGGAATGGAACAGGGAAAAAGTATTGAACACACTTACTGAAATTTATCTAATACTTTGTACAAAAGCCTTTGTTGGCAATGACAGCTTCTAGATCAGAGGTGTCAAACTCCAGTCCTCGAG